TAACTAAAAAAACAGGAATTTATAACTTTTTTGATGTTTAAAACCCCAAGTTTTAAAACTAGAGCACCAAAGAAATATGAAAATAAATCTATAGTTAAGACGATCTGGAATGAAAATATATCTATGTTTAAGACTCTATAATGAATATATGAGGACGCTAACGAATACATTCCTACAATGAATGTGTGATGAATTCACATTTCATCATCTTTATCTGGTCAAGAAATTAATGAATGTGAGAGCAAACCCAGGTGAGGTACGTGGAAGGCAATTTTACCCTCTAGCATCATAGCTAATTGCTGTATATTTTTTTCTTTTTTTAAAAGCATGCTGTTTGGTTGTTTGAATAGTCTTGTCTTGGACCTCAAAGATAGTATACGTTGTCGATCGCCCTTTGGCTTAAATGAGCCTTGGGGGAAGAGTATTAGTCCCGCAGAATCCCACAACCCATCTGAGTACTGTAGTTGAGGAGCAGAAACAAGAGGCCCCACTTTCCTCTTCTGCTTGTCTGCTGAGTATCTTTCAGCTAGTTCCTCTTCCTGCCACTGAGTATTGCAAAATTTTCTTCCCAAAGATATCACTCGTCCATCTTGCCAAACTGCAGTAATTCCAGCTAAGACTTGTTAACCTGTTTCTGTCTAATTAGTGATCTGCAGCTGACTCTTACCCTTCTTCTATTTCATGGCTTCTTTCTCCTATGGGATTTTGAAGAACCCAAGGATGTAATTCCTGAACTGTTGCAGAGTTCTCCTGTGGCTTATCCACATTTTGTCTTCTATTCTCAAAACTATGGGAATAAAAGGCTCCCGATAAGAGCTGTAGCTCAGAGGAATCAATACCCGCAGTCCCTCTCATCTCCATCCGTGCAGCACCACCACGCCCACTGTGAGTAACACGTGGCATTTTGAACTGCAAGGGCTCTATGAATCTCTGAGGTGCTTCCTGGTCCGTGACGTCGGAAACCTCGCTCTGCTCTTCTCGGGAGTCTGACACATTTCAAAAATAGGATTTTGGAGAAATGCCTGGCATCAAGGGCAGTGGAAGGACTTACTATTGGAATTTAAGCTTCACCAGTTAACTAACTCCGTGCCCTGGAAACATCCTGACTTCTGACCCCTCATTTCTCCATCTGTCCAGTGGGATTTGTTTCTTCACTGCTGACCTGAAAGCATCGGCATGAGGCGCAAATCGACTAAAATGCATGAAAGGATTGTTTACATTTCTCTCCATACATAAAGCATTATTATTAGTATTTTAAAAATTAAATCATAGCTGTGTACATTAATGCAATCATGGGGTACAATGTGCTGGTTTTATATTATTAGTATTCTTAATCTAGGAAGTTTACAGTTACTTTGGCAGAATTTTAGAAAAAGAAGTTTGGTTTCTCTGGAGAATATTTCTGACTCTTAAAATGTTCATTTTGGGAATCTGCATGCAGTCACTCACATAGTTGTGTAGTGGTTCTTAAGCATACATTTTTTATTAACAATTTCAAAATTGTAAGACCTTATACTACATGGAATAATCTAAAAACTTTTTTTTGGCCGGGGCCGGGTTTGAAACCGCCACCTCTGGTATATGGGTCCGGCACCCTACTCCTTGAGCCATAGGCGCTGCCCAAAACTGTTTTTTTTTTTTTTGAAGATCCACTTTTAAGATGACCCAATCTCAGAATAATGACCTGGTTGCATACATTTCATTATTCTCTCAGAAACCAGAGGAAGCAGATCAAGACTTCCAGTAGTCAAGAATGATAAAATTTTTTTTAGCATGACATAACTTTGAATTCACCCTGTCAGATGGTGGCAAAAATCAGACTATCTGTGTCGTCTGCACAGGGTTCTTTCAATGCCAGGTTGCCCCCAACAAGATTGGTTTAGATGCCCATTAGTTAAATCGAGTCAAAATGTCAGCATGTGAGCTCTGCCCGGTTTGTAGTCCTTAGAAGGACGTCAGACAGGCAGCAAACACCAAACATTTTTCTGTGAGAATGCCCACCAGCTAGTGAGGGGCTGCCATTGTTTGATGGGAGGAAATACACTCTAATAGTTACTCAGACCTGGGTTCCTATGTATTTTTTGACCTTTACAAGCTATGTCATTTCTGAGCCTCAGTTTTTAATCTGTAAAATGGGTATACAAGCAAATACATAACAGAATTAGAGAGATTGTTAGGAGAATTAAATATGGGACGTTGCTTAGCACAATGCTAATAGAAGCTAATTGGATGATTTTCAATACCTAGCGGTTATTAAGTAATAATTAACTATATTAATCATATTCTTAATCATGATGATGCTTACACATGACAAGTACTGTGATAAGAACTCACCAGTGCATATTAACTCACACAAATCAGGACTATTATGTAGTATTGGCTTAGGTTTACAATTGAGACTCAGAGAAGTTAAATAAATTGCCTAAGGGAAAGGCTTTCAGGTTTGTCAAGTTTTGAACTCAGGCAGTTTGAGTCCAGCAGCAGAGTTCTCAGCCACCGTGCTGTGCCACCGATGTCTGCCTGCCCATGATGCTGTTAAGGATTTAATGTTCCAGTGAAATGATTGGCAATTTTTTGGAAGGTGCAGGAAACAGCATATCACACTACTGTTGCTCATTGTTAGTACCTAAGATTCAACATTCAGGGAATGGGTTTATGTCCACTAGGTGGCATTGCTGTTTTAACAAAATGTGAATCAAACCAATATTTAGGCTTAGGCATCTGCTAAATTTGAGAGCACTCCCTGGACATTCTATTGCAGCCTTCAAAGTTTGATGAAAGAAGCCTCTGAAATTTAGAACACATCCAGAGGTTTATAAAGGCTATTGGCATCTTACCATAATTAAGAAAAGTAACTACATGTTAGTTAATTTTGCATGTTAAGGCTCACGCAGACTATTATGGATAAATTTTGAGATCATTTAGCCCAGTTCTCTCAGTTCGTAGAACAGACACAGGCCAGAGAGGAAAAATGACTCTTTTAGGTTAGACCAAACCTGAGGGTTCTGGCTACACTTCTCTTTCCATGATACTTCCTTGCTGATGCTAAAGCACAATGAGACTGTGATTTCTGAACATGTAGAAGACTTCCCTTTGGGGTATAGGGCAGAAAAGAGGGCTAAAAAATTATGAGCTTTTATTTCATTAGGATTTAAATTATGTCCAAACTAATAGTAGACTCAGGAATTTTGATATCAAGTGCTATATATGTGCAAAAAAAAAATGGTGCCGTTTCCCTCTTGAAAAAATTGAGTGACTCTAAATGATTGTCTGTTAGTTCTGATGTAGTTTATCAATACTAAACCCATGGCAGGTAGCAGGTTAATGGAAGAGAACCAGGCCTCTGGAACCAGATGCCTGAGGTGGACAGACTGTTATTTACTAAGCACAGGATGCTGGGAGGTCAAGAGATACCTCTAAGTCTATTTCAGCATCTGCAAAATAGAAATAATGTTTTTACCTATTTTTTAAGATGTTCATGAAGATTAAACATGTGACGTGCCGGCAATATAGTAAAAACAAGGTTACAGTTGATGTTTAGTTTTCTAGGACTGTGACTGTCAGTTGTGAAAGTCATCACAGGGGGCTTGTCAACCACCTTACTCACTGTCACATGCCCAATTACTAAAAGGAAGAAATAATATTTCAGATTTGTGACTGTGTAACATTGTTTCTGCCTCAGCCAGATGGTACAAGTAGCCAAGAATATGGCCACGTATTTCATTATGTGTTCACAGCCACTTAATTGAAAACACTTGTAGGCTTTAGGCTCCTATTTGCAGGTTAGACAAAGAAAGCGACTGAGAAAATGGCATGAAACAATAATGGCTAAGAATTATTGAGCACTTGGTGAGTCCAGGGCATTGTGATGTTTTACGAGTATTAGCTCATTTAATTCTCACAACCTCCCTGTGAGCTTTGGGTGGTTTCCCCCTTTTAAGATGAGCGAACTGGGATTGCAACACTTCCCAGTTGAAATAAAAAGCCACAGAGCCAGGATTGGGCTTATGTGGCCTGGTTCTTAATCACTCCATTCTGTCACCTCTCAGGGTGGAAAGTGAGGGAGCCTCCAAGGTTCCCGAGCTCTAGATTGAGTTCCCCAGGACACTGAACACTGCAGCGAAGCCCAGGATAGCCACGGTTTGCTCACCTCTTCCAGGCTCCTGTCAACACATTGCACTGTTACCCAGGAGGGCAATGTGTTAAGCTGAGATCAATCTTTTTATGGCAGTTTATTGATGAGATTAGCTGTTAAAACATTTAATAGGCTTTCGAGTTTCACAGGGTTAAACAAAGTTGCAACAGGTCAGAAGAGAGCCTGCCTAAGGTAGGGCACTCCTGAAGCGCACTCCTTAGGAGCAGAAGAAAGAGGATCGGGTTGCTGATGCAATCATGCCTGGGAGCAGCCTATTTGTCGCTCTTGTGCCCTGTGACATTCCAGGCTACACTCTTTTCATTGCTGTAATGAAGACTCCCATATGGAGTTCTTGAATTCAGACTTACGAGAACCTTAGCTGTCTTCTGGTCTATTCCCCTGACTTTACAAAGAGGGAAACTGAGATAACTGTTGGCTTAAGATTTTAGAGGAAGAGTTGGACCCCTGTTCCTTTGGATATTCTGCACTGTTTCTGTATCTCTGAAGCTATTTCACTTTGAACAGCATCAACTTTGAATACATGCCGAAATTTCCCTGTTTATACCAATAACATTTTTCCTTCGGCGAGAACCCACATCCAACAGATAGCATCTGTTCTTTACAGATAGCATCTTTCTATTTATAGTTTCTTTTTTCTTCCTTTGCTTGAAATAAAATTTTATGGGGTGAGGGAACAACAACATTTATTAGAATATATCTTCATATCCATTTATTTCCTCAGTAGAAGCCATGAAATGCAAGTCATTCAATTTAGATCTAAGAAAACGACCTTCCTAAATGGGACCCAGGCCACTTCAAAGCGGAATTTCCAAAAATACACGGTGAGGAGGAGACGTCCACTTACCGATTTCTGTCATTGTTATCCCTGGGGCTAACTGCCCATTGTTGAAGGAGCTATAGGTAAACAAGTTGGGGACGGACGTGAGGTCATAGATAGGTTCTTGCTTTATCTGTTTGATGCCAGTCATGTCAAGTCCTGACTGATCAGGGGATGGTTGACCAGAGTCGACGCTGTAGTAGCCCTCGGACTTGGGCAGGTCAATGACGTGCCCGTTGGCATAAGCGCCGCTGGTCTCGCTGTTCAGGCTGCTCAGGCCGTTGCTGATGCTGCTGCTGTACACCCTGGCAAGGGCCTCCGCCTCCCCGCTCTGCTGCTGCCGCTGTTCTTGCAGCCGCTGCTGGTGCTTCTGCACCTCAGCATACAGGCTGTCCCTCTGCTTCTTGGACATCCTCCCGAACTTCACCGCTGGGTTGGAGAGAAAAGCAGAAAAAAGCATTTGTGGTTATTAGTCTCATTAACCACCTCACATCCCAGGGCTCGTGGATGGCTGTCCCTTCAAGGTCACATGCACAAACTTCCACCACCACAGCCTAAGCATGCATTCATTTGCACTTCACATTGGGGGAATGGTTATACTCAGAGGGTGCCTGTACTGGGTTGTGTCCTAAGCTGGGAAGAAATGTGAAAAACTTACGTGTGCACTTCTCATTGCTATGAAATTAGAAGGCATAGTTTCTTGTTCTTTTTTATTTGTGAAAAAGACACCCCCCAAATCCAAATTACTAATAATGCCTACTATTAAAAAGTCAACTAACACATTACTGACTTTCCTCCTAAGCATTAGGGCTACTGAATTGCTGGATAGAACGCTTTTATTTCATGTTCAGATTTATTTTCTAAAGAGCATGTTGGGTAAGACCAAGGATGGGGAGCACGGTGATCAGCACAATTTTAAGCGAATCCCATCGTCTGCTTTCAGCTGGCTTTTGGGATCAAATTATAGGAATCTTTGGAAAAACAGCAATTTTGTGCATCTCGCGCTTAGCAAGTGAGTTGACAGTAACTACATTTTCTCATTCTATCACTCCCAAGTTTTATTTTGCTCATCTTGTCTGGCAAAATTCTCAGCCATTCTGAAGAAAAAGGAGGAAGAGTCTCTACAAGTAGTCACAGTGCTATAAAGATGCTTTTATTTCACCATGTTGTTTTTTAGCTTATGGAGCTTAACCTCCTGAACTATTATGATGACGATGAGAGGTTGTCAACTCCCTTTTTAGGATGTGAACATCCTGGGCCATGGGGCTGCCTTGTCTGAGGCTAACAGTGAAGACTGTGACAAACTTGGAGGCTCCCCTCTGAGTTTCTGTTTTCTTTTCTTTTGTGACAGTGTTCCCATCATCTCTTGATGGTAGGAATCAGAGAATGGAGAAAGAAGGAAATAGATGCCCATCGGCCCATGAATGGATGAATAAATTGTGGTATATGTACACCATGGAATACTATGCAGCCTTAAAAAAGATGTTTACATGGATGGAGCTGGAACATATCCTACTTAGTAAAGTATCTCAAGAATGGAAGAAAAAATATCCCATGTACTCAGTACTATTATGAAACCAATTTACAATCACTCACACTTTCATATGAAGAATAGATCACAACTATGGCCCAAGATGAAGGAGGGAGGAAGAGGGTGGAGAGGGGAGGGGGGAGGTAAGAGGGTGAATGGTGGGATCACACCTATGATGCGTAATGCAAGGGTACATGCCGGATCTTTTAGTATAGAGTATAAATGTCTTAACATAATAATTAAGTAAACGAGGTGAGGTATATATTAACTAGTGTGATGTAAGCATTCCTAATTCTATATGGAATCAGCACAATGTACCCCATAAATGCATTAATGTATATAAGATCTATGTGTTTATGATTTAATTAAAAAAAAAAAAAGAAGGAAATAGAGTTTAGAAACAGATCCAATTCCTGGACTCAGGCACTAGGCTTGGTGCTCTTCAGAGAATATGTAAGTGGTGAAGTGCTTAGAAGCCCTCTAGCACAAAGGGCCCACAGAGGAGATTCCTGCTGTGAAGAACTGCCAATCACCCCCCTCCCAACATTCCTCCAATTTTCATTTTCTTATTCCATTAGGTACAGAGCTACCAAATTTTATCTTAGCATATAGGCTGTTCTGAAGGGAGACCTCATTTCCCAGGCCCCCTCAGCAGCAGCTGTGTTGGAGACTAAGTCCTAAGTCACGGATTGGAAGGGCCGCCTTCACTGCTGGTTAGTGGGGCACATGGGTTTCCTCCTTGCCTATTGGACTGTGGACGTGAGGGTGGACTTGGAGAGTCCCAAACTCTTTCTATTTCCCCTCAATCCTTCTTAAAAAACTATTATTTGGCTTTCTGATGCTGTATAAGCAGGCAAATGAAGTAGTAATTTTCTAGTCGTATTTCTGAATAAAGACAAACAATCTGATTAATTCAGAGCACGCTCCTCTCTCACCTCAGTGTCACTTTTATAGGTTCTCGATTCATTTAGATTATTTTGTTTAACTTTGTAGAGACCTTGCCTTTATTAGCTTCTGTTTCTCAGGGACAAATGTATTTGTTTACTAATGGCAGTGATATTTCTAGTTTACCAACAGAATTCTGTAGTGACTTTCAGGGCAAGCCACTTCTATACTTTTAAGTTATGTCTTCCCAAATAATTTACTACATGTTATTCTCTATGAGGAAAAGTAGTTTTGTATGGAAAAAAAATTAAACAATAATAAATATTAGTTCGGGAAGAATGTCCTTGCTTCCCCAAGAAAGTGCTGTGATGTGCTTCTTATCTGCTGACCTTATATCCTTTGCATCTGCATGGGTTCAGAATAGCTTTTTGTTGCAATTAGGAGGTGAATGCCAGATTTCTATCTATTGCTATAGATTAGTATTTCTTTGGGGGGGGGGATCAGGGTAGATCTACTTTTTGACTTATTTTAGGAGAAGAGCTTTGCATTTATTTGTTAAAAATTTATACAAGTTAAAAAGTGAGGAGAGACTCTTCTCACAGGGAGGCAGAAATACAATGTCCCTTTTGAAAACTTTTTTCAACTAATCCTTGCTTTAGATTTCTAAATACTTTATATTTGGGGGAAATATCCTTTGTGTCAGACTGACTGCATGAATGATCCTGATTCCTTTCTTATTTCCTCCCATGCTTGTCCTTACGTCAATCTGTAGTACTCTTTCATTCTGTGCAGGCACCCTGCCCATCTCCTGATTTGGGGGCATGTGACCTTCTCTGGGCCAAAGGGATATTGACAAATGTGACATAAGCAAAGTCTTGAAAAGAGCTTGTGTGACAGGGCACCTCATCATGATTCAGTGAGAATACACGTGTACAAGCTATCGACTCAAATATACATACATGCACACGTTCACCTTTTTATACACATAAACACACATGTGTATGTATTCCAAGTGGATTTTATTTTTGATTCTTTGCCTAAGAAAAATTTAAATACATTTGTTATTGGGGACTTTGACACGTGTTACTAGACCAGGATAGCAGTGGAAATGCAGCTTGGGCAAGGGCTAGCCTGAGCTAGCTTGCTGGAGGATATGTTCAGGTGAAGCGCAGCCAAGCCTCGTCAGTCATCTGGGCAAGGCCATCTACACTCAGCAGAGCCATGGAATGACCCACAGCTGACACGTGCAGAATGCTGCTGTTAATCAGAGGTGTCACAATCAAAGCTAACGTCAATAAAACATGCTGCTGAGCCCTCTGCCCTGGTAAACACCTGATAACTCAACAGAGAAAAGCTATGCCTTTTGAATAAAGTTGCCTCATCAGGCCACTGAACAATTGACATGTTTTAAAAAAAAAAAACAACTTAAAACTGTACTACATTTTAAAATTACCAGGTTACATCCTAAATCAAAGACTCCATTGACAATGATCATAGCATTCCAGAATGAATTTCCACTCATTTCAGAAACACTGATGAAACAGTGTTTCAGTTTTATGCCCTCTCCTGCAATAAAAGTGGTGACATATTGGGGGAAAAATTACAATATGTGGCAAAAATACAGCTTCTGAACTTCTGTAACATAAATACTTTCTTGTCACTATTTGTAAACACATTTGTTGTATTCATAGGACTATTTTAACAAAGGCCATGTTACTATTATAGTTCAAGTATAAATTGTCACTACGCATATATTTTAATTGCCCCTCTTGAACTTGAATTAGTCTGTTAATGACATTCACTTGAGTATAGAGATAGCCTCTTGCTAAACAGCTACCTCTTAAAGGCACCAGCATAATTTTGTGTACAGTGCAAGTGCTTTATGAAAATATTCGGGGATGATGCTGTTTTTTCATGATAGACTCTTAACCCTCATTTTGATCCCATACTAGCAAAGAATAATTTTATGCAAAATTACCAGGAATCATTTCACACTTATTTGAATTGTGGGATTCTAAAGGGAATGGGAATTTTATTTTTTTTTTTATTTTTTTTTTTTTTTGAGACAGAGCCTCAAGCTGTCCCCCTGGGTAGAGTGCCATGGCATTACAGCTCACAGCAACCTCCAACTCCTGGGCTCAAGCGAGTCTCTTGCCTCGCCTCCCAAGTAGCTGGGACCACAGGCGCCCGCCACAACGCCCGGCTATTTTTTGGTTGCGGCCGTCATTGTTGTTTGGTGGGTCCGGGCTGGGGATTCGAACCTGCCACCTTAGGTGTACGTGGCTGGCGCCTTAGCTGGTTGAGCTATAGGCGCCGAGCCGGGAATGGGAATTTTAAAAGTAACTAAAACATAGAGTCATTACTCCTTCAAAGATTTCTACTGGCATTATACCTGGATAAGAGAATCTAGTTGTACAGCCAGCATCTATGACTTTGTGTAGTCATTTTTGGAATCATTTTATCTTACTATCATTGGTCACGCCATTCCCTACGTTTGAATCATGCTGCTTATACCACTGAAACTGGTTGAATTGAACTCTTCCCAGCTTTAGAGATTGTGTTCCTTCCCTCTTTTTAGTGCTCTAAGCTTGGTTTAGAAGTCTGACTCAATCTACCTAACCCTAGCCATTATTTTAAAATCTTCTTTTGCATTTCCTTTTACTTTTTCTCTAGCAGAACTTCTTGTGATGATAGCACGGTCTCTGTGCTTTCCAACGTGGTGGCCACGAGCCATAGGTGGCTACTGGATCCGTGAAATATAGTTGATGTGACTGAAGAGCTGATTTTTAAATTTATTTCATTTAAATTTAAATTATTTAAATAGTGACAATTGGATTGGATAGTGCAGTTCTTAGTAGAAGAAACTTGATCTGTGGGACCTGTGCTTAGTAGCAGAAGCTTGATCTTGTGGGGCCGCTTCTGTCTTTTTGTGGAGACATGCCATTTAGGAGGACATATTCTTGATTTTTGCAAGGTATCATATTTTCTCTTTGGGGTCCAATGTTGTCCCACTGATGGCAAACATTTTTATTTTCTCCAGTAGTAGCATCATTGGAAACAGTTATACTAAAGATTCTTTTGTGACAGGTCCAAGTAAAAGAACATTTGTGAAGGGTTCAATTAAAAAAATAAAAAGATGGTTGAGAAGATTCGGCGGGAACATACACCTCCCCGCTATCATTCACACACACACATACCTACACGTACACATTCGCCTTCTTATACACAAAAACACATATGTGTAGGTCTTCCAAGTAGATTTGATTTTTGATTCTTTGCCTATGCAGAATGTGAACAAATTTGTTGTGACTGCGTTTGATGTCTACTCATTCGCATACTAGTAAACCAGTTTAGAAGTGGAAAAGCCGTAGAGAATGAAAATCCACTGATTTTGGAACTTATTTAAGATATTACTAGTAGCTGTGTGGTTTCAGCGGCCAGCTATGTTGAAGCAAATACTCTCGGAGCCTAATTGATAAGATTGGGCATGTTCAGGGTAGCCTGGCCTGACGTTGGACCCTAACTGACAGAAAGCAAATGTATTTACCAAATGAAGGTGCCACTTTATCTCTGATGGAAGGTAGGAGGTTGTAGAAAGAGGTGAGGTGTGAGGGCATCTTACTGGTAGTAATATGCTATAGCATTTGGAAAATACTTGCTTCATCAGTAGAAGGCAGGGATCTTAAGTAGGTGGCAGGGAACTCCCCCCACCCCATTCTTGAGTCTTTACTGAACACAGCTAAATCAATCCTAGCTTGGGGCACTGGAACCCTTCAATGCTCCATAGTAGGCATTACTCATCAATAGGAGATAAAACCTACCCAGCTTCCCTGGTATCAGCGTAATTTATTTGGTATAAGTTACCCTTGTTAATCAAGGTTCAGACCAAACTATATGACATAGTTAAGAAGACACTTTTTTCTTCCTGGACAGAATCACTTTTTTCTTCCGTTTGAGCCTCTTCTCTGCTTCCCAACCACTATTACTATTACCACCACTGACCCTTCGCCTCATGATTAGTTTGTCATAGATGCACTTAGGTGGCATTTTGAAAGATGCTCTGGGCAGCCTCAGGATTGTTTCTGGATCTAAAGTGAAAGTGGATCATTATCCTTAATCCCCAGTGTCCTCAGACTCTATATTGCTTTTATCTGCATAGGGTGTTACATGCTGCAGAGAGTTTCTTCACCCTTGAGAATCAATTGTGGTTTTATTCATTAAATGACCCCCCCCCCAACACGTTTCTTTTATGTCATGGGATTCAGACATCTCCCAGATTTTGCAAGCTGATGTTGCTGAATCTGCCTTGGACCATACACACATCCCTCGCCCGGTATTCCGTTCCCCAGCACAGACCCAGAGGACCCGCTTTTCCAGAAGAGATACTTCCTTCTATGATAGTAAGATGTAATACAAACAATAAGCCAATGGTTTATCTCTGTGCTTAATTATTAAGGGGGCTCCTCACACATCATCAATGGATTCACTGCTTCCATATTTTGAGGTGCAAAATGATCAACTCAAATTCCCATAGAATTTCACAAGTTCTGAAAACTACGTTTTCTCCATTTTATTTGCTTAGTTCTAGAGAAGCACACAGTGCTATAAATTTACCCTAGGTATAAATTTACATGGATAATGAGCCTCGAAAAATAAATGAAACAAAAAAAAATCAGTTAATAGGAAAGTTTTGGAAACTTTTTCTTTGCAGTTTTAGAAGCCACCTATAAACTAAAGAGTTCAATTCAGATTCTTTGAATTATTTTTGGTCACATTTGCTTTTGGATACAGCCTTGAACTTCACTAGAGGGAGCGTGACTAGAGGCACAGAATCCAGTGATTCACACAAAAAGAGAAATATGAGGGGTGCTGTCTATATCTTAGCCTTTAGATGGAAGAGAATTCTATGGCTCATCCTACAAACATTTAGCTGCCTGCTTTCACTCAGATCCTGGTGTTTTAGTGGGAGAACACAGACAGGCCCCCAGGACGCAGGGCCACTTATAATCTGGTACAGGAGTGTTATGGCCAATATCAGTGGGGAAAGAATTGCTTAGACGAATGCCTAAAAATGAAAACAAAGCTGGGTGACATTCTTTGTCCTCTTTTGTTAATCTAAGATGTTCAGTCGGGGAGTCACATTGCCCAGTTTTGTTGGACACGAAGGTGGAGAGCAAGCTGTGCCTTTTTCTGAGTAGGAAACCACCTACACAACCCTGCTAAGACTTGGACTTCCACTATAACCTTTGCAATCTTTATCATGGCTCAGATAGTCCAAATCCTGATCTAGGTAGCTGTGATTGGCGGATGGAACTTTTTTGCTTGTTTCAGAAGCATTGCAAGTCCCTCAGCATCTCCACACACTAAGCAACTTCTGAACTGGTCAAAACCACCCAGGGACGACATGGTCCCAGTTTGCCTGGGACTTTCTGGTTTTAGCTCTGAAAGTCTCATATCCCAAGAAACCCTTGTTTGCAGGCAAAGCTGGACAGGAGGTCACTTTCAACCTGGGTTTATACTTTCACTTAACCTAGTTAGCCTACGGTAAAGTCCTTTCTTTTATTTCACAGGCAACACTAATTTTATACGTCCTTTCCCTCTTAATGTACTACTAGCCCCATGATTTTCTTTTCTTCTTATCCCCAATTCCCTCTTCTAGAATTCTTCCAGTGGCTTAGATAGACTCCAGCACAGCATCCACCTGAAAGGCCTTAAGTAAGAAATAGGAAGGTGAAGCCTTACCATCTCTTGACATTCCTAGGGCAAGACACTTTTGCAGTCGGCAGTGTTGGCAACGGTTTCTGTTGGTTCTGTCAATTAAACAGTTTCTCTGCCTTGGGCAGGAATAAGAGGCATTGTTCTGCTGGCTCCTCCTAAAGAATCCCTTGAGGGAACAAGAGAAGGGGAGGGAAAAGGATTTATAAAAAGGGAAACAGAAATCATTCAGATACACATTTGCTATCTTTTTTTTTTTTTTTTTTTTAACAGCGAACAGAACTGAGTTTAATTTTTAAAATTCTTTGGGTACCTTTCCTCGTATAGCTTGCAGATGTTTATTCTGGGAAAAACACGCGCTGGCTGAAGAGACAAGAAGTAGCTAGCATTTGTTCACTCATTCATTTACTCACCGAATCAACCAATGTTTGTAAAAGACATTTGCGGCTGTGCTGCTCTGTGTTAAAAAAAATCCACATCATGACAGAATTCCTGCCTCCAAAGAGCAGTGGGGAAAGAGCAGCAAAGGAGAGTGTCCCTGCTAAGCCAAACACGTAGAACTTGATGAGGACGATAACACCGGCTTGTGCCAAGTGCTGTGGTGGTGAGGAGCTTGGGGCATTGTTTGCAATAGCTGCATTGAGGACTATGGATTACTCTTTTCCTCATTCCTAAGATAGTGTTTTTAAGGTGTCTTTTTGTCCAATAGAAGATTTTGGAATTTGGCTAGAACTCATCTGAAATTTTTTTTTTTTTTTTAAGGAGTCTTGCTGTTTTGTTCAGCAGTCATAGCTCGATAGCTTATGACAGGCTCAAACTCTGAGGCTCCACTCATCCTCCTGCCTCAGCCTTCTGAGTAGCTGAGACTATAGGCAGGTGTCACTTTGCCTGGCTCTGCAAAGTTGTTTATTAAACCAAGGATGGGCCCTATAATCAACAACATCTTTGAAGAAAGGAACTACTATAAGCTGTTCAATAAAAAATAAATAATAAGTAAAAACTGAATGAATAGTCCTCACTCGCCTTCAGGTTATTGCAATATAAGAAGAGGTCTTCATGTTTGAGACCAGTGACCATTCACTATTTCTCTAATATTTTGGGTTTTTTTGAGACACAGTCTCACTCTGTCACCTAGGGTAGAGTGCAGTGGCATTATAGCTCACAGCAACCTCAAACTACTGGGCTCAAAATGATCCTCTCATGTTGGCCTCCCAAGTAGCGAGGACTACAGGTGGCCACCACAACACCCAGCTGGTTTTTCTATTTTTAGTAGAGACAATACCCTCTCTTCTTGGCCTCCAAGAGTGCTAGGATTATAGGTGTGAGCCACTGTGTCTGGCCTTGCTGCTTTTCTAAATAATCCACAGCTGAGTTAATTTTTTTTAGTAATTCTTTAGGTACTACCCCCTTTATTTATCTTCTAGGAAACTCTCTTAGGGAAAATAAGCATTTCTCCAGAGATATAAAAGTTATCATTTATCCGTTGATTGACGTATATAATCAGTTCCCTAATCACTCTTTGCTCTTAAATCATCTAGAACAAAACAGAAAAAGTACAAAGTGAAAAATGGTGGTCTACCAAGAGAAATTTTAGAAACACAGCCACAGCATCCTCTTTAGGAAAGAGGAAGTCTAGCAAAGTTCAAGGAGAGTAAGCTCAATGCCTGTCTTGCAGAGAAGCCTAGAATGGGTCCCCTGATGTCCCTCAAACAGCTTCTGTGTTTCCTCAACTACTTCCAGGAGGATAAAGCAAGGCTGGGACGAGGGGAGGCTAATGAGGCAATCACCACGGCCACAAAATTCAAGGGTCTCCAAAAAATTTGGTCATCAGGAAAAATAACATTTTAACACAACGTGTTAAAAGTCAACATTAATGCCAAAAAGATAGAAAGACAGGGTGGATATTACTGATTTTTTCTTTTGTCTCAGGCTCCAGTACTGCTCAGCATGGCACTGTGAAGAAAAATTGGCCAACCTGGGAGAAGCCTCAGAGATGGATATGTGGTCAAGATCTCCGTAGAGAGAGAGAGCCAACTGGCTTTGGGGTTTTAAGTCCAAAGCTGTTCAGTACCCAGGATTAGTTTCATATCCATTATAGCCACATGCATTCTTTCTTTAATGGACCAGTGATGGCACAATGAGACATCGGATTGTCTGGCTTGACTGAATTCCTGGGACCCCTTAAAGTAGAGATCACAAATAAGACCCCAGGGATTGAAATGATGCACTTAACATACCATGAAAATTGTCAGAAAGCTAACCTCTGCCTGTTGGTCTTGATTAAAGATGACTTGAGGCTTGGAGCCTGTAGCACACTGGTTATGGCACCAGCCACATATACCAAGGCTGCTGGGTTCAAACCAAGCCTGGGTCAGCTAAAACAACAATGACAACTGCAACAACAACATCAACAACAAATAGCTGGGTGTTGTGGCCAGTGCCTGTAATCCCAGCTACTTGGGAGGCTGAGGCAAGAGAATCGCTTAAACCCCAGAATTTGAGGTTGCTGTGAGCTATGATGCCACAGCACTCTACTGAGGGCAACATACTGAAACTCCGTCTCAAAAAAATAAAAAAAAAGACTTGAAATTTACATTTTGGGAAAGAATTGTGTGGTTTTTATCTCTGGATACTCTGGTGCCTCTTAGCAAAAGAGCTGACAGAAAAGGCTTTTCTGAAGTCACAGCTACATCCCTAATGTAAGGCCAATTTGACATTAATTACAAAACATTTCTTGCTTATCTGTTGCTCATTATTGCAAATGAGGTTTTTGGCATGAAAAAGAGATTCCGTTCCAAATTTTGTTGAATGAATAGAAATTTGAATAAGTGCATGAGCTGAATTGATGTTATTTAAAATGGGTTGTTTATGTTGACTTGAAAACAGTATAATGAAAACTCAGAGGTTGATACTGAATGTGCTGACACTGACATCTAATTCTGAACGGGGGTTTCTTGAGTTTTCTATTTGGAGAAAAATGTAGCATCTCTACAAATGTGGATTTTCCATGAATTAAAAAAAAATAGAGTGGTATAGTGTCATTTCGATTAAAACCTCAAAGTATGCTTCTTCACGGCATATTTTTTGATTATGGATTCCTTCTTTAAATAGAAAAGATGACAGTGGTTCCTGGCTATTGGCCTGTTGCATTGTATTTGTGCAGTAGTTAAATCTCTTGGAAATTACTGTTTAAAGTGTTTTTCTCTTTCACACGAACATATCCCCATAGTTTGAAATCAGACATTTTCCAAATGGAGCTTATACCATGAAATGCCAAACATCCTCATTTTGACACTGATCTAAAAAAACACTTTTAGTGGCTATTATGTAAGCTAAACCAGCGCTCTTAAAATTGCATAACAAGCCAACAGAATGGTAGACATGCCTTTCATGGAGAGGGCCGTGATGCTGAAATTACTATCGTTTATGAAGAAAACTATTTGTCTACCTGCCCAGCGGAAGTAATAACTTATTTAGGGAGGGTAAAAAAAATTGCCAAGTTGTAAGTTTGCTGTATTTTGCAATCTACTTAGCTTTATTCTGATGGGTTGAAAAATTTGCACTAAGGTGAATGACATGCAATTCTTAATTTCAGGTCTGTAGGGAAAAAGAAGGAAAGGAACACCTCGCGAGGTCCCCTTGTGGGTTACCGCGAATCATTGCTAAAGCAGGTCAGTAGGTTGACAGGTGAGTGTGTCAACATTACCCCCACCTTCCTCCCTCCCCTGCTTTATTCTCATTTATTTCCTTTTCTTTTCTTCCCTCCGGTTTCAATCCAGGAATCCCACATTTCTGAGACGACTATGTAGAGACTGTCAGTTTTTCCTACATCACCACTATTGGATGGTTAAAGTACATTTTGTGTTCTTTATATTTCAAAGTCTGTTCAGATTAAGGTTGTATTTTAAAATCTATGATTGGACTACATCTCCTTCCATTTACTGCCCTTAAATTAATAACCCTTTGCTTGTGTCTCTGATCAAAAATGTAGTGGCTCTTGCCAGTAACTCTGCCAGTATATCACTGTTTCCCTCTCAGACTATTCTCGAATTTTCTTTGTTTTCGTTCCACATGGCCCTTTAAAGTCAGTTGTAGAACTCTTTTCATGTCCCTGAGCTGTTTTGTTTCTCATTTTTCTTTCCTTCTAAGGATTAATTTTAAAAAGTCACTCTTAAATTTCAAATTTCTCAGCCAGGCCTGGTGGCTTGTGCCTATAATCTTAGCACTCTGGGAGATTGAAGTGGGGGGATATCTTGAGCTCAGGAGTTTGGGACCAGCAGGAGCAAGAGCAAGACCCTGTCTCTAGTGAAAACAGAAAAGTGAGCGGGGTGTGGTGGCAGGCTCCTGTAGTCCCAGCTACTTGAGAGGCTGAGGCAGGAAGATCTCTTGAACCCAGGAGTTTGAGATTGCATGGGTCTAATGCCGCAGCTCTCTAGCCTGGACAACAGACTAAGACTGTCTCAAAAAACTTTTTTTTCTTCAAATATCTCTTATTTCAGCTTAGGTCTATGTCCACTGTTGTTCCTTCAGCTCTGTATTTAAGAAGCAACTTGCTCACAGGAATTAGTTTATCACAGGAAGGACCGGTGACATCTTTTCTGGAGGGGAATTCTGGGCAGAGACTGAAAAATCTCGTGTTTTGCCCATGTGTGCTCTGTTCTTTATTATCTGGGTCTATGATGTTGGTTAAATGTCAGCATCTGATTTATACTTCAGGACCTCATCAGAAAATGAAAAGGTTGGGGCAGATGATTTTTAGTTGATTTAAAGATTACCTAGTCCACTTCTAGCTTGCCATGCTTCTGATTTCTTCATTTCCCCCCCTGGAACGTGAGAATAAAGGACGGCCACAATTTGATTTCTCTCTTAAGGAGAAAGATAAACATATGTCCACTAGTTTACTATGTATCATCTTCATTTTAACCTTTCGTTTTTTGTCATATAGTAGTAAGTGCCTGGAGCTTACTGGAGACAAGCTCAAACAGCAAGCGTCAGTATTTATATCTCTGTAAATGGAATAATTCAAACTTTTAAATAGGAGTCTATTTTTAAGGAGCTGCTGACCAGGTTTGCAATAACAAAAAGGGAAAAGGCAAAAGACCAGAAAATCAACTCTCCCATCCACCAAGCAAGAATTCCTGAGAGTCAGCAGCAGGCCCAAGACATGTTAGCAAGCCTTCTTTACAGAGATGCCACCCTGTGCTTTGCCAGGGACACAGACGCCTGAGGCCGTACAGAGCGGTGTGGTATGAAAGCCCCATACCTTGCAGCCTTCACACGTGATGACTCCGTAGTGGATCCCAGAGGACTTATCGCCACAAATTTTGCATGGTATCACTTCAATTTGTGCTGAAAGAAAAAAAAAATAGACATTTCGAGTTTACAAATTTGTCTTCTTCCTTTCACTCCTGCTTCGTTTGCCATCTATCCCTGTCCTGCTGTTTGTGTTTGGAAATGCAGAGGTGGGTGGTGGTGTGGGCCTCATCCGTTACTGTTTGAACGTCCTTCTTAAGCTGCTTCCATCTGCTAATGTTTGCTTTGCTTTTCTCAAACTAAAAAACATAACCAGAGACCAGTTTTTTTAAACTCTTGCCTTTGCTGTTTTCTCCTTGATAAACTTGACCTTACAGTAATGTGCCTTGTAGGGGCTCAGGGCCTGCCTATAGTCTCAGCCACTTGGGAGGCTGAGGCATAAGGATGGCTTGAGCCCAGGAATTCCAGGCTTCAGGGAGCTATGATTGTGCCACTGTATTCTAGCATGGGTGACAGCAAGACCCTGTCTAAAAAATCAAAAAAAGAGGGCAGTGCCTGTGGCTCAGAGGAGTAGGGCACCAGCCCTATATGCCAGAGGTGGTGGGTTCAAACCCAGCCCCGGCCAAAAAAAGCACACACACACACAAAAAAAAAAAATTAAAAAAATAATAGTGTGGCTATTACTTTATTAAAAAAATTTAAAAAAGTAATAGTGTGGCTCAAAAATTCCTCAAACCCATCACTTTAGGTTTGTTATTTTGCACCTGAAATGTTAAGTCATTGAGAGTTTTCACATGGCCTATCTCAAGTGTGTGTGTGTGTGTATATATATATATATATATATAATTTTTTCATTTTTTTTAGAGACAGAGTCTCACTTTGTTGCCCTCAGTAGAGTGCTGGGCATCACAGCTTACAGCAACCTCCAACTCCTGGGCTTAGGCGATTCTCTTGCCTCAGCCTCCTGGGTAGCTGGGACTACAGGCACCCACCACAATACCCGGCTATTTTTTTGTTGCAGTTTGGCCAGGGCTGGGTTTGAACCCACCACCCTCAGTACATGGGGCCAGCGCCCTACTCACTGAGCCACAGGCGCTGCCCTCAAGAATATTTTTAATAAGTAAATGAAGCAAAACTGGGAGGTGGCGGTGCATGGTAGCTTTATGCATACATAAAGTATATGGCAGATGAATGTGAAATAGCTAGTCATGTATCAGTCCCATATGTGTCCAGTATGTTGTATATGTCCTCTGAGACATGAAGGCTATTGACACAAGATGCGATGTGTTTATCTAAGAGCATTAACAGCCATCTCATCCTTTTCTACAATAAAAAAAGGGAAAAAAAAAGTGTTCATGAAACCAATAATCTAATTAATAAAACAAAATTATTAAGAAAAAATCAGGGCTCGGCGCCTATAGCTCAACCGGCTAAGGCGCCAGCCACGTACACCTAAGGTGGCGG